ACATCCCTTATTAAAACAATAAAAGTATCCAAAATATGATATATACAGCAGCTGAGATAATTAACCAATTAACAGTAAAGCCAAGAAACACGGTCCTTAACATATTCAGAACTCCCAGCCCAGGAATGCAGCCAAGTTTTTTAAGCCTTACGAAGGGCCATCCAGGTTGGGGCCTTTTTAATTTCCAAGAGGAGAATATTCCACAAAGCAGGGGCAACCGCAGAAAAGGCCCATCTTCTGATCCCCAGGCTATCTGATACTCTGGATGACAGGATCTGCAGCATGTCCAATCTGATGAATCAAATTGGAGGGGTAGAGATTCTTGGAAAAAGGCAATCCCTTAGGTAACCTTGTCCCAAGCCATGTAGGTTCTGATTATATGTTCTGATTAATGTTCTGATTTCTCAGAAAGTTATCTTCAACTAGGAAATATGAAGTTCATAAGCGGGCTTTCAGGAAAAGTGTGGTTTGCAATACTTTGGATTTGATTCCAAAAAAAGGGGCTTTGAGTAAACACACCTCTTGCCTGCAACTCTTTAAAACAATTGCATCATCTCATGACGTTAGATTACATATTTTATCTCACTTTTATTACTTTATAAATAACTTAAGATGGCAAGTATGCATAAATTCCTTCCTATTTTCCCAACAACCTTGGGTTGAGTTGAGAGAGTGTGACTGGCCCAAAGTCACCCAGCTGGCTTTCAGAAGGAACTAGAATTCACAATTTCTTGCTTCTATCCTGATGCCTTAACCATCTCCAAAGCATGTCTGTCCTTCCTTCCTTCCTTCCTTCCTTCCTTCCTTCCTTCCTTCCTTCCTTCCTTCCTTCCTTCCTCCCTTCCCTTCCCTTCCCTTCCCTTCTCCCTCTTGCAGCTGTGGAATATCCTGGCATGCGCTGGCTCATGCTATCATAGACCAAGGTTCTAGGAAAGGGTCACCATGAATACACATCTAGCCAACATCATTCCTGGTATTGATTATCTGAAAACTCAAAGGTGGAAAGTTGTGTGTTACAGTCATAGGTCTCCCTCACTTTCTGGAAATTAAATGCCCCATTTAAGTTCACATAGGAGAATTCTATGAGATGACAATGAACCAGTCTTAAAGAATTCCACATCCATAAATGGAAAATTCTGTTATTTGAGAAGGGTTTCGTGGTTTTGCTAGTTTAGAAGCTCACAGAAAGTCCCACTAAGGAGTGGCAGGAGTGGCGTGGTAAGGTTGAACATCAATAGACCTCCAGAAGCACAGTGAGCACTTTTCAAGGCTTTCTTGACTAAGGGACCATTCAGCTTTTATCCAGAAGATGCCATGCTTGATGACTCATCTCCTTTAAGGTTACCTCAGCAGTTGGCCAACTTAGGCTCACAGGCTAAGCAGATTCAAGTAGGTTAGTACTTGGATGTCTTTATTAACAAGATTTCTACAATGCTTAGTCCAAAGAATTTCAGGCACCGTGCAATCTCTATGGTGCGTGGGCAGTGGTGGGTTTCAAAAATTGTTCGAACCTATTCTGTGGGTGTGGCCTCCTTTGTGNCACACTGGGAACAGGCTCCAGCTGTTCCTCTGCCTCACTGCTGTCTAAGCTCCCTCTCTGACTCTGACACAAAGCCCTCGTCTGAGCTTTCCTCAGCCCTCAGGACTGGCCCATGTTCCTCCCCAACCTTCTCACTGACTCTGCTGCCAGCTCTGCTGGGCGCCGGTGGGCCACAACACTCACGTTGGTTATGATACAAAGTGCTTAGCTTAGCTCTATACAGTACAGACTAATCTAAATCAGTTGTATCAACATCTGGGCAGGCCTCTGAGAAAAATAAAAATAGCTGTAAATATTAAAGTAAGAAGAAAAATCACATACCGAATCACTTCTTCGGGGATATTCAAGTGTTCGTATTTCAGGTGGTCTCTCAACTCACTTAAGTAATTCAAATAGAACACCTTTTTTCCAAACTTGTGGCTGAAAACACAGAAGACTTTCTATCAGTATCAATATCTGGAGCAGGAGGAACACCTGAATTGCTTATCAGACAGGACCAGAATGGCACAAAATGGCAGAAGCAGCCATTTTCATACGATCAAACATATGCACACCCCATGCTTGTGATCGGTCTGATACGAATAATTGTCTTTCAGAATAGAACTTCCAGCTGCACAGATTGGAAACGATTCTTTCAAGAACTCGACAAAAACTTCCGTCTTAAAAATGTAGGGAAAGCCATGTCCTATTATAAGATTTTTGGTTGATAGTGATGCCCCAACTAGATAATCCAGCTGGGCTCAGGGGCTTCCATAGGGAAGAAACAGCTGTGTCGAAAAAAATCAAAACTATGCCTGTTTTTATATATTGTTGACTGTTTCCCATGCAAAGTGAACACAACAACAGCAACAGCACTCAGAGTTTTATACTTCTTCACAAGTCAGAACTGAAGAAGCTTCTTGGATGAGAAGCAAAATGTCTTCAAGGAAAAATAAAGTCCAGTTGCCCTTTTGAAAAAGCGCTTTGGGGCCCTTATGGTGTATTTATATATTATGTTTTTATGTTCCTATCTTCTATTCAGGAGCTGAGAGTGACATTCATAGAGCTTCTTCCCCAAGTTTCTCAACTACAATCACACTTTGAGAGAAGGGCTGGTCCATGTATCTCCCTGCTCCTACTANTTCTATTCTATTCCATTCCATTCTACCCAGCAAATGTTCAGTATTTGAGTCACAAGATTTTCAAATTCAGTCTAATTTTTCATTGTCCTCCCTTATTTTTTAAATTCTTTTGTTGACATGTTACTTATCTGGGAATATTGGAACCAACTGAGTGTGGAAGAGCATGGTGTAACATAAGTCTCAAGAGACCTTAATTTTATCCTGTTCATAATAATGTCTTGCAATTTAAACAGAATTTTCTCCACTGTTGAAATTTCTTACTGCTTTCTTCATCATAAGAGTATACATTTAGTGAGGAAGCAAGAGGGGAGACGTTTAGGTTTATTTTTTTTCCTATATTTATCTCAAATGTTCAACGACTTGCTTGATTTTGGATAGTCTCTTGAAAATTATTCATTTCTATGAATCGGCTCAAATATGTCTGCAGAAATCGGTCTCTTCCATTAAGATGATGGAACTATAGGCAGATATGAAGTGAATCCTTACCTCTTTTTTTCAAGTAAGCCACTGTGTGATTCATTACAGGTGGGATTAATTCCCCTTTGTTTTTAGCACTGAGGCTGTTGGAGAAAAGAAAACAGGTTGAAACATGACCTGAACAAAAATCACAGCATTGGAAAAGCTATCTTGCTTTTAATCTGTTAAACCTGCCTTACATTTGAAAAGAAAAGAAAAAAGAAGTGTCTCAAAAAAAGGAGGCTGTGTGTTGGTTTTGACGCTGTGTCTGCCATCTAGTAGATTTTGACACATGCCCCCATATAGAGAAAAAAGTTATTTGATAGCAAGTTGTTACTTGGAACATCCAATGTGAAAAGAAAATCAGTTGTGGAGCTCATTCAACATAACTTCAGAAGAATTCCTTAACAGGGTAAAAATGAAACGTGTTATCTTCACAGAAAGAGTTTTTGAACCTTGTTCAAGGAAAAATGACTTGTTNAAAATCTCCATTCCCTCCCCACTCCAGGGGAAGGATACTGCAAAATCTCCACTTCTTCCCGATCAGCTGGGACTCGGGAGGCAGAGAATAGATGGGGGTGGGGCCAGTCAGAGGTGGTATTTACCAGTTCTCCGAACTACTCAAAATTTTCGCTACCGGTTCTCCAGAACTGGTCAGAACCTGCTGAATACCCCCTCTGGCTTGAATGCATTAATTTTCCCCTTATAAATCTATGAGGGGGGGGGGGGAAGGGAAACAAAAAATAGGACCGAGAAAAAGCAATATTGGAAGCATAGAACACTTTGCTTAGCAAACCCATATATAGTTCAGACTAAAGTCCTTTGAAAATGTGTCTTTCCTCCTTAAAAGTACTATTATGAGTTCCAGAAATAAAATCGACGGAATAAGTAGATATGCCCAAATATTAGGTTAAGAATATGCAAACAAAGCTTCTACTTGTTTTAAGTTAAAATGCCCATTTTGAGAACAATACTCAATTTTACTAATCAAAGTAACCTTTTAAATCGATTTTAAAAAAAAATAACCACCACAGCCATTTTGCCCTACGATATCAGGCATCTCCGAAAGGCCATAAAATGGAATTAAAATGGATTTTTAAACATTGTTGACTTTTCTGGAAATTATTCTGCAAAAAGCTTATCAAGAAGAAAAGCCTTTTATTATTACTCAGAGTAGAGCAGAAAAATTGTATATTGAAGCTCCATCTACTGGAAGGTAGCATGAAATAAATAAATCCCATTCTTTCATGAGAGGGAATTAATTGACCCAAAGAGAAGGTTTATGCGAGAAAAAAGCACTTCTGTATAATTCATATTCTTGATTTTCAATGTATTTAATCCTAAGTAACATTTCCAATATATAGTTCTAGCTAATTAGTTCTCTCTACCGTAGGAATGGATTGATCCTTAGAGATCTGAGGATATTGTGCTGTTTATCACCTTTATAGCCCTACATGGCCTAGGACCTGGATATCTCCGTGACCGCCTCCTGCTGCATACCTCCCAGCGTCCAATAAGATCTCACAGGATGGGCCTTCTCCGGGTGCCATCGACTACACAATGTCGTCTGGCGGCTCCTTGGGATAGAGCCTTCTCTGTAGCTGCCCCGGCCCTATGGAACAATCTACCCACCTGAGATCCGGACCCTCCCTACTCTTTCGGCCTTCCGAAAGTCTATTAAGACCTGGCTGTTCCGGCAGGCCTGGGGCTGCTGATCTTGACTGAACTCCAGCCCCACTAAGATTGAGTGTATGTTGTGTTCTTTTAATTCGCTTTGTCTTGTATTTTAAATTCCTTTAATATTTTTAAAATTGTTTTTATGTAAGCCGCCCGGAGTCCTTCGGGATTGGGCGGCATACAAATCCATTAAAACCTTAAACCTTAAAAACCTTAAACTTGTGAGGAAAACCACATCTCTATCATTTAAAGATTACTGAGCGCCCCAACTATTTCAATCTTCATTTTCTATCCTGCAGGTGCCTCTAGACATCCTTGAAGAATGGTAAAAGAGAAAGAATTTAGCTTTCCTTCTGCTAAAAGGAATCCAGACTGTACCTCATCAGGGGTTTGAAAACATTCCAAATTATCCTGATGAAGTTGGTGGGATGTACAATGTAGAGTGCTTTCAGGTTTTTCTTGTATCTGCAGAAAAGAAAATTAAATGGTGTTAGACAGCTTCCAAGTGCTGTGGTGCGAAGCAGCTGCAGGCGAATGGAAGCAAAAGTTTTCATTACTGGCATATTATGCACTTGCCTTCCAAGTACATCTAATTTAAAGGGAATTGAATGCGAAATAAAAAAAAGAGGAAATGGTCAGTTTTAGATGGAATTCAAGGAGGTGAAAATTATACAGCTATTACATTACTAACCACTACCTAAATTGTTTGCTGCGAATAATGAAGACAGAGGGAAAAATAAATCTCTCCAAATGATACCAGCAAAGTGCCTGAAATGGAGAAAGAAAAAGAAAAGAAAAAAGAAAAAAAGGAAGAGAAAAGATCTTTATAAATGCAGCTAACACACACACACACACACACACACACACACACACACACACTATCACACAAACCATTTGACTTAATGTTTATGTTTCAGATGTATTTGTGCTTTGAATTCCTAAAAAGACTTGGAAGAGAAAATGAACCAGGATGATGAAAACTAAACATTCTTGGCACAAATAAACTGATCTCCAAGCATTCTTGCTTCGGAAAGGTGACTCAACATCTGCAAGGCAGCTGGCAATGTGGTAGGCTTGCCATCTTGCAGATATTAACCCCCACCCCCACCCCCATGTCCCTAAAATATATCTTTGTAAACCAATGAGAAGTTTGTACTGCCTATTGAGGAGTAACAAAGTATAGCAGTTTCCAGTTTCCAGTTTATTGGTATTTGTATGCCGCCCACTCCCAGGGGACTCTGGGCGGCT